CAAAGGCTGGCTTGCTTCTAGCAAATGGTCCAAATCTAACAAATCCAATTACAAACCAATAAAAATAAAAGGACAAATAAAGGCATTTTAAAACATTTACTTCTATATTATAAAGAATATAATTAATATATTTTTTAATAAAGATTTGTTTAACAAGTATTTTTAGTCTTTATTAATTACATATTTTTACATTTAATTTTTATAAAAATCACAAAAGTTGATTTTATTTTTATCACTAATACTATTGTACACTTTTTTTTATCTTAAGTTGTATAATAAAAAACAATGCTTTCTCATTTCTTAATATACTTTACTGATATTTCATACGATCCAAATTTAAAATTTTTTATTTTTAATAAAAATTTATTACTACTCAACTATTTAAGAGTCACATGCATACTTTTTTAAGAGTAATATATTTTTTTAATTACATAGTTGATAAAATTTAACTTACTATTTTTTAATTTTTTAATACAAATTAATTACAAAAAGTACAATAAATATATTTTTAATATGTTCAATTAAGGCACATGTTAAAAATTTCCCTTTTACAATTTATTTATATAAAAAATTAATTTAATTTTTACATTTTAATTAATTAATTGATAAGATTAAAATCAACTTTTATAACTATTTTTCTTAATAACTTAATTATATATAAAGTTTTTTTAATTTGTATTTTTTTACCATTAATTTGTATGAAAAATTAGGAATGTAAATTTTCAATACCAATATCATGTGGAACATTTTAATTAAATGATTAATAAAACAAAAGTCATTTTTTTATATAAATTAGCAATGGAAAAGTACAATAAATACACATTTAGTTATGGGATTAGTGTTTATCAATTAGATCCACACAAAAAAAAAAGAACAAAAAACACTCAAAATTATATTGTTTTAATAAAGTATCACGATAAAAAAGTAAAATAACTGTATGCTTCTAAAAAATAACTTAACTAGTTAAGAATTTGATATTTTATATTAAAAATCTTATATTTGAATCTTGAATCTGATAGAAAAAAATTAAAAAAATGATCAAAAAAATTAAGGGTTATCATTTTTTATATAATCTATTATCAAGTATAAAAAAATAATTTTATTTTTACTTTAAAAACTATGATTTTAAATTTTTATTTTTTTATTTAATTTTTTACTAGTATTACTAATAAACATTTTTCTCTTTAGGAATATATCATAAGAGTTCGTATGATGGAAAATTCCAACGATAAAAGTTCATTCATTGCCCGTTGAGCAAGTTAGAAACACCATTAACTGCCATCTGTCCTGCTTTAGAAAAAAAAAAATCACTTTTACCGGTAAGGAGCCGGGACATGTACACCTGGCGAAAATTTATGGCCAGCCCTCCCCTTACTAACTATGAAAGTCTTAGCCCTTAAACTTACAATATAAAAGTTTTAGGCCCTCATCTTTTTAGCATAAATGAAAAAACCCAAAATGGATGGAAGTGTCATATACTCATTAAAATTCTATTATCCATTGCCATGTTAGTGCCAATGTGGCAATTTCTTGTCAGCATGGACTTCTATTGCGGACAATAAAAATAAGACTTGACAAACCATTCAAATCAAATGGATTCAAATTGGGTAATCTCAAATTTTAGATTTATTGGGTTTAATTACTTCAAATTTTGGGTTAAATGAGTAGATTTATGACTCACTCGTACAAATCTTAAATTGGGTCAAGTGGACCTAACTTTTTAAGCAATTAAAATTAAAATTATTTAAGAGTTTTCTATTTTTCTTTTAAAAAATTAATACTAATTAATTATTTAGTCGAAAAAATCGTTTAAATTATATATAACACTAATAATCTAATAAATAATAATCATTTTATAATATTAAATTTTATTTTAAACTTAAAAATTAAAATTAAAAGTATGATTAATTAAAATTTTAAATTTTAAAAAATTAATTAACTTTAATCGGAACACTTTAAGTTGACTTGACTCAATTCTAACTTAACTCAATTGAATCTAAGTAATTTTAGTCTAAGTTATATCTGATTTCAAATTGATACTTTAGAGACTTAAATCCATAATCCTATTTACAGTGAATGCGTCTGGGTTGACTCAAATTTTCAAATTAAATCTAATTTTACTATGTTTAATAAAAGTAAAAAATTGTGTCTATAACACGATAGTAGTCATGATTGTAAGGAATTGCCATGTTGGTGCTGACATGGTAATAGGTAACAAAATTTTAATGATCACATACGGTTGTCTTTCATTTTGGATTTTCCATTTAAGTTGAAAAAATGAGGGGTTAAAAGTTTTATATTATAAGTTGAGAGACCGATACTTTTATAGTCAGCAAAGTGAAGGGCTGGCCATAGATTTTCACCCACACCTTCACCAGTACGACTTCACCTTGTCCACCCAGTTCCAGAGTCAATAATAATTGAGCCCGTTTGTACCAAAAAATAATAATTGAGCCCGTCTTCTCTTTCATTTCTCTATATTTATTCCCTATTCCTTCATTCTCCATTATTGCCCTTTCATATATTTCTCTTCTTTCGTTTATATATATCTTCTGCAGCGAGAAAAGGATGCTGGGTCATATTGTGGGCAACTTCAAGGCAGTTGCCACCGGTATGGTTGGCGGGGGAAAGAAGGTCATGGGTACTGCTGTTTTGATGAAGAAGAATGTTCTGGACTTCAACGACTTCAATGCATCAATTATCGACAGGCTTGATGAGTTGATCGGGCGGAAAGTCTCCCTGCA